CAAGTACTGTATGCTTTTTATGTTTTTATTAGTGTGTCACACAAACAGCAAATATTGTCCAAAAAAGTAAGAAATCTTTGGGGGTGCTTTGATTCATTTATTTCTTACACTTTAAGCCCACAGAGTCGTGCTGACAGATTTTTTTTCCTTTGTCACAGCAGCTTTTTCTTTATCATTTAGAAGAACAGTTAAATATGGAACTTCTGCAAACTGTATGTGGCCCACTATGTAAAATGAGTTTGACACCCCATCTAAGCCTTTGTCCAACAGAGTCCTTCCTCTGGATACAGATCCATTCGCATGGTGGAAAAACTACAAGCATAAGAAGATTGAAGCTAAGCTAGCAGAACAAGGCCATTTGTTCCAGGTACATCTGCACCAAGTGAGAGGATGACATTGATACTATAAGTACATCTTATCTCTCAACAGAGAGTGTGGACAGACTGATGTTTTTGCAGAGGCAGGTTGTTTTAAAGCAGTGCAGCGTGTGTTATTTTGGTTTATGCAGCATTTTTATATTGATGGCTTGCTGTTTTATTTAATTTTACATTTAGATAATACAGTAACACATGTTAAGAAACAGCAATATTTCAAATAAATAAAAAGCTTAAATCAGATGAAAGAAGATCAGATTTCAGGACTGGACTCTTCACAAACACTGAAGAGTCAAAGTTGGATTGAATATTTCTACACTGTGTCTGAGTTCAGTGTCTCTAACATCCCCTTTACTCACTGATTAGAAAGACAACAACATGTTGGACTGTTTCTGAATCATGTCAGTGACATGTTACTTTCCCACAACCACTTTACTAACACTGAGCATGACCATGAGAGGAGCAGCAGAAATTAAAAATTAAATTTGTGATATCAGGGAGGGAGCTGTTCTCACACACTGTTGTACTGATCATTAAACAGCAGGTGGCGACCTCACTTCAGTTAAAGCACAGTCACAGCAACACACTGTGGGCTTCATATATTCGTGTAAAATTATAGCTGCTGTATCATTTAAATTTGGGATACTTTTTTGACGTTTTGATTCAGACAGGGGGAACAAATTGCGGCAGGATCAGCTCAGATCGTGCTCCCGACGCAGGGGAAACCAATTCTGCAGGGGAGACCTACCTTGGCACTTGTGCAGGTGAAGCCAAAGGGAAGATGCTTCACCATATTTTCTAGTCTTTGATTTGGAAGTAATTTGGTTTGGAAACATACTTGGCGATGCTTCATCTCTTGCTTTGTGTTTGTGTGTGAGCCCTGTCAAAAACCTGTCAATTACGCTAGCATTGTCCAAGCGTTCTTTTTTTTTTTTTCATACCGCCCCACCCGCCCCTGCAATGGCTCTGCACTCACCCCTAGGGGGCAGGCCTCACACTTTGGGAACCTCTGTGTTAAGGTATTAAAAAATATCACACTGTTAAAAAACAAATGAATGTGAACACTCCTCTGCTGTCTGTTGGATAATTTCCTTTTCAGGGTTTTCCAAAAAA